CGGTGTAGACGTGGGTGCAGTCTTGGTACTTCTCGTACAGCAGAAGTAAGGCGAGCTGCTTGAGGGCTGGTATTGAGAAATCTCATTTTTTACGGATGCCTGGTATTGTCAGGTTGATGACTGGCTGTTTGAGGCACCATGGAGCAATTGAAGGTCTCGCCGCGGGCGTAAAACCAGTTGGTAGGGAGTCACCATGTGCAGTTATTGTTCGACAAAATGACGTGTGAGGTCTATCCACTGGCAGAGAGGCTAGGTGGTGGTGGGGAGTCCGGCCCACATGCCTTATGTGTGTTCTCAAAGCTTCAATTTTAATATGGGTCTGCACGAGGTGGTCTTTGGCTATAGCTATAGTCGCCATTGTTGAGGCACCCTGAGGCAGACCTAGACATATTCGAAGCGCCTGTGCTTGAACGCTTTGTATCATGCGTCGACTTGTTTTGCTGGCGTTTGATAATGCAGGCAGACTGTATCGTAAAAAGCCAAGGAAAAGCACTCTATACAGTCGTAACATAGCATTAGGCTGCATTCCCCTAGTCTTTCCAGCGAGAAACTTGAAAAGATGGCATATGCCTGTCAATCGCTTTTTCAAATACGACACATGAGGGCTCCATGATATGTCTCTGTCGACTATGACACCCAGAAATTTGTGAGATCGACGATACGGTATATTTTGACCATTAATTGACACTCTGTAATTTGACATGGGTTTGCGCGTAAATGCCAGAAGAGCGCACTTTCCGGAGGAAATTTCCAGGCCTCGATTGCGCAGATACAAAGTAGTTGCAGTAGCAGCTCTTTGTATTCTCGCTCGTAACTGCAGGCGAGTTACCGCAGATGTCCAGATGCAGATGTCATCAGCGTATGTTGATAGATAAATATTGTTTGCTAGGTGCGTATGGAGAGCGATTAATGTTATATTGAATAGCACAGGGCTCAGTACACCACCCTGAGGGACGCCACGACAATTGAAATGTGTAGACGTGTTCCCGGTCTCTGTACTCACAAACTAAGATCGCATTTGGAGATAACTGCGTATCCACTTAAACATTCGGCCACCCACTCCAATCTCTTCTAGTGCGGTAAGGACGGCTTCATGTGTGACGTTATCATAGGCTCCTTGGACGTCAAGGAACAGAGAGGCGCAAAGACGCTTATGGCCTTTCTCGTGTTCAACGTACGTGATTAGGTCTATGACGCTATCGATCGATGATCGACCACGTCGAAAGCCAGCCATGGCATTTGGGTAGATCTCATGATACTCCAAGTACCACTCGAGTCGGCCGAGAATCATTCTCTCCATCACTTTACCCACGCAACTAGCCAATGCGATCGGGCGATAGGAGGAGAGTTCCAATAGTGATTTGCCAGGTTTTAGTAATGGTACTAGACGACTAGTTTTCCAACTTATGGGGACAGTGCCCTCTAGCCAAGAATCATTATATAGCTGAAGTAGAGCTATTCTCGCGCGCTCACCCCGATAACAGAGGGCTCTGTAGGAGATTCCGTCAGGTCCTGGTGCGGAAGTCTTGTTGCATGAAGCGAGTGCTGCTTTGAGCTCCTGAATGGTGAACGGGTAGTCAATACAGGAGTCACGTGGTGGCGGACAACTGCTCGAAAGTGGTGAGCTGCTGATGGCTGTAGTTTGCCCTGATAATCCGGCACAGAACTCTTCAGCAACGTCCATATCTGGTCAATTTTGGTGAAGGGCTAAGGCCTCGAATGGTGACTTCTGAATGGGCGATGACCGCAAACCTCGAACCGTCCTCCATATCTGCGATAAAGGCTTACGAGGGTCGAGTGACTCGCAGAAAGTAATCCAGCGTTGGAATTCCAGCTTGTCCAACCGACGTTTCATCTTCTTCTGCATACGTCTAGCAGCCCGTAAATCTTCTATGTCCTTCGTGTGCCGGTGCCTTCTTTCAGCTCGTCGTCGCAAGGCTCGAAGCCGCTCCAGCTCTATGTCGATGTCTATGATTCTTACAGGGCATGGGATCGTACACACAGTCTCTTTTACAGTGCTCTTGATGGCCTCTTGTAAATCGGATATGTGTTCTTGGCATTGGTCTTCCATACGGGACTGAAATTTTTTCCAGTCCACTCTTTTAACAATGTCGCGCACTTTAGGAGGCGACAATCCTCTGATCTTGACGTATGTTGGAATGTGATCACTCCCGTGCGTTTCTATATCCGTGAACCATTCAGTATGTTTCACTAGGCTTTGCGAAACAAAAGCCAAGTCGAGACATCTACTGTATGTGGAGCCACGTAAAAATGTAGGACTGCCATCATTCAGTAACCAAGGTTGGTTGTTGGAGGCAAAAGACACCAAGCTTCTGCCCTTCATGTTAGTATTCTGACTTCCCCATAATGTATGATGAGCGTTAAAATCCCCAATGATAACACACGGGTCAGGAGTTGACGCTATGATGTCTCGTAATCTTTTTTGATCAAAACGGCTTGATGGTGATAGGTATGCGCCAACCACAGTGATGTTGAGCCTCCTCTTTTTCACTCTTAAGCACACGTATTGGTTTCCGTCATGAGGTGGTACAGGTTCAAGGATGTAAGTGAGGTCTCGGCGAATGTACACCAGAACCTTGCTGCTTTCAGTAAAAGTAGACGACATAAAAGGTTCGTATCCCGAGAGTCGTATTGCACTCGATAAGTTCGGCTCACAAATGACGATTACGGGAAACATATTGACGTACACAAATCGACGAAAGTCACCAATGTGCGATATCAGTCCCCTGGCATTCCACTGCAGTATTGCTGCTTTACGAACCTCATCCCGGAAAGACAGTGGTGGGTTAGCCATGGTCTACTCTAAGACTGCTAGCACTGGACTAAGCGCGTCCAGTACTTGAAGGGCACTTTTGGCTGACGGTGTATTCATGTCGCTTAACAACATGCGAATGGTGTCCACTAATGATCTTAGCATCACCATCACGCGATGATCTGGCTTCCCGGCCGTTGCAGCATTTTGTGCTTGTTCTTGAGGCGTCTTCTGTTGAGGCTCTACAGGTCGTGTAGGCGGCTTCTGTTGAGATTCAACAGATCGTCTAGGCTGAAGGGGTGGCCATTCCTTTGGAGAGAGAGATCTTCCAGCATCTTCTCTTTCACCGCAGATGTTTGCCGTGCTAGGAGCCGCGCCTGTCGATTTCACTTGAGTTGCTGGCTTTCTCGTCAGATTTTGCACTGTCCTTCGTGAGGACCTTCGACGATGACGACGCCTTCGCCTTACTTTTTTCGCAGCTTCTCTGTGAGTCGAGTTGTCTCACACCATTTGCCTCAAAATATAAATCTCTTTCTTAATCTGAGGACAGTCCTTGGAGGAAGAACTGTGAGCTCCTTGGCAGTTGGGGCATTTCAACGTAGTTGCATTACAGTCGTCTTCTGAGTAGTGTTTAGCACATCGGGGGCACACTGCGGAATTTCTGCAAACGCCCTGCACGTGGCCAATCTTCTGGCACTTGAAACACTGCATAAGCTTCGGAACAAATGGGCGAACCTGGTGACGGAAATGGCCCACCTTCACGTAAGAGGGAAGACAGTCACCCTTGAATGTTAGTCGCACACAACGAGAGTTGCCTAGGCGACCAGCATGCACAATGACGTTGTTTTCACTCGCTGGTTTTATCAGTACAGGAAGATCTTCATTGGCGATTTCAGTGTCTATGTCATAGATAACTCCTGTTACGGTGTCACCATTCGCTGGTATGATGGATCGGACTTTGATGTTTCCCAGCTCTGACAGATGCTGTAGCGTGTTCAGTGCACTTGGGTTCCTCACGTCAATTGCCAAAATATTCTTTCTCGTGTTTATCCTGATGTCTTTAATTCGTTAGGCACAATGTTTTCAAGGTACAAGGACAGTGCTTGCCTGTTGAGGAAGCGTAGATTGGCAGTAGTAGTCTGCGGCACAAACAGAATGGAGTGAGGCCATCGCTGAGGCGCTGTCCTCACAGTGGCTGTACTTGATGCCGATGATGCGTTCGTGATTCTTCGTTTGGCCTTGCGGTAGAACACAGGTTCGAAGTCGTCTTCCGTGGACTCGCAGTCTGATGCAGAGTACAGCTCGGTGTCCTCGCTCTCACTAGATGTATTACCAAGCTTTCTTGAAGCAATGCCCGTGGATGAACTGGTACTGGGCGGGATCTCCGGGGATTGTACATCCATGACCACGATGTAGGGGGCTGGAGACCCCGCTGTTGCGCTGTGGAACGCAGAAAAAACAGCACAGACCGCAAGATGTGTTCTTAACGTCCCAGAATCACCATATAATTATGAGAGACGCCGTAATGGAGGGGCTCCGAAAATTTTGACCACCTGTGGTTCTTTAAAGTGCACCTAAATCTGAGCGCACAGGCCTACAGCATTTCCGCCTCCTTCGGATATGCAGCCGCCGTATTTGGTTTTGCTTTATCTTCGGGTTGAAGCTTCAAAATCTATTGAAGCGCCATTGCCTAACGAATGTTCGAGAAACGTCACGCAGAGTTCTGAGGCTTCGACCTTATTACTCCTAATTTCGTTTCGTAATACTGTCTGATGGGACAGCGCACTCTACAACTCGGTATGTTTATAAACTTCTGATTGACATTAACCCATATTTCCACACTTGAGGATGTGGTCATAACACAATTCAATTAGGTGCTGGCAATACGTGTGTTGGAGGTTGAGACAAATCTTATAAAAATGTTTCGTTTCGAGAACCATAATTTTCTTAAGGCACAGCTTGTGGTGCAGTTTTGTTTGCGTTTTTGTATTGTTTGCTGTATAGCTAATTATAATGTTTACCTTTGAAAAAATTCGTTTTGTTATGCTCCGCGTTTGGTTGCACGCTGGTTAGGTGTAATGTTTCACTGAATATTATGCGGTAGTCAAATGTAAATGAAAGTAATAATTGCATGTTAACTATTTTGTTTTGTTAAACTATATTGTTACGCCGCAGTTACTAAATTTAGGCGATAATGATTTTCTTACGCTGAAGTTTCTTATTCCAGACTGCCTGCTGTGGGTGCAGAGGTCTGTGGCAAATGATATTCCCCAGAACTGCCTGCAGAACTACGAGGCGAACTGCGACGTCAGAGTTCCCATCTTCGAAATAGATCTATGTAACAACGATGAAGGGCATCAAAGTTAAACTAGAATGACGCACGGAGTTCGAGCTGGGAACATTGTTTGTGCTATGCGCAACAAGGCCATCAAATCAAGACACTTCATTACTCACTCTGTTGACCTGCTCTAAGATCCATAAGACTACTGAATGATTAAAGAAATGACTTTAACTAAACTACGAAAAGGCCAGATTTATTTGCCTATTCTCTTAGCCTTACGAGCCTTTCCTGCCGCTGTCTTGACTTTATAGCCTGAACGTGGCCCAGGTGACGATACGCACAGTTTTACGAACACCTCAGAAAAACCACTTTCTAGTGGACGTTTTGTTTCTTTTTTTAATACGAAGAAATTGCTTGCGCCTTGCAGACGTTTTCAGCACGTATATTTACGTATCTGTCTAACCGCTTGCATCTGGGCTCATGATCAACTCATTTATTTCGGGTAAACAGAAATTGCCGAGGGAAGGTAAGGTGTTTTGACGAACGTGTTTGGCTGGACAAGACGGGAAAATCTCATAACATGAAAATCCTGTCCCGTAGTGATATTTTCACAAAATATGAGAGGCGCATAAGCCTACTGTACGGGCTGCGATATGCCGGTGTGTGCCGCAGGTGCTTGACAGCTTATATCTACCGTGAACGCCACACGATGGCATTATATATAGAAGTGTAAACGTTAGGGCTCGCTTTTCATTCTCAGACATAATATAGGAAGGAAGCAACAAAGCGCAGAAGGCAGGGAGGTTAACTAGAAAGACATCTGGTTCGCTACCGCACCCTGAGGAATTAGGCAAGGGGCAAAAAAGATCAGAAACTGAAAACAGAAGGAAAAGAAAGAGGAAGAGACGCACAGTAAATTCACTGCAGCTGTAGAACGCCACCGCAAGTCAGAGGCATACACACGAACACATCGTCCTCCAGAAACATTAAAGGGCTTTCACTGCCTTGTGGAGTGTAATAGCACATGCACCGAAAGGGGACCATCATCCAGTCGCTGAAATGCGTTGGCAAGTACTTTTCTCTCAAAGGCATATCAAGGACATGGTACAGCAGTTGTCCGATTTTTTTCATCGGTGCCGCAAACATCGCATGCCGCACTGTCAGTCGTTCTGATTTAAATTGGTATAAGCTTTCATGAAAGCAACTGCTAGCCAAAGGCAATGAAAAAGCGAAGCTTAACGTCGATGTAGGCCGGGTGGAGGCAGCAGTTGTTGTGAAGGGTCAAGTTCATGTAGTCTGGTACGTCGTATGCTTGGTGTGTTCCGTTCAGTCAGTGTGAGACTGTGGGCCAGTTGACGAATCTGCCTCGCATCGTCCGCTGTTGAAAGTGGAATCGGAACGCATGTCTGCTTCCTGATGTGACAGACGAGCAGCACGATATGCAGAACCTATTTATGCTGATACCTACAATGCCCAATTAACCACTAAAGGCGATGTGGCGGTATTTTTATATTAAGAGGACGTGAAGTTTCACGGTTTGATAGGTGTACTGGTCGCGGCATCCACGTCGGAAAACTGACCGCAGGCACTGTAACGCCGGTTTCGAGTCTAACAACACGGCCCATTTACTTGGCATTCCTTAAAAATCGATCAGCTCTTGTGCACTACGCAGAGCATCGAGTTATGTTGCCGTGGACGTCGTCGCATGTGAAGTCTTCAAACGCAGAGTTACCCCTTCTGATGATATAATCCCTGTTACACCTGAACTGGATGACGTAGTCGAGCTATCTGTGTAGATGTGCACGTGGTTACTGTAGTTCTGGTCATGTAAGAATATATTCAGTTGTTTAGGACATGAGTTAGAAGGTATAATTTTCTCCGCATTCCTGGCATGCGCAGAACGGGAAACGCCACACAGGAAGGAAAACTAAAGCAAAAAAAACCCAAAGAGCTCGAACCCGAATAAAATCGAGGCATTCAGCGTTGCCGTCTTGTACTCTACACGCTATGGCTTGAAACTTCTGAAAAATACCCAGAATTGGTGCCACACCGGGCGATGAGCCGGGCAAACAGACGTAGCATAAGATGTCCAAAGCGTAGATTCGCACTGGCCATTGCAGCGTAGAAAAAGCTAAACAGTGCGTTTGGACAGGTGCCTCGGCCTTTAGTCGCGCCACCCTAATGATCACCAGCATGAACAAAACACTCCGCTGCGTAACTTCCCGCTTGATCACGCAGACGTGACACTTCACATCTTTTAAAATCAATGATTATTTGAGGTGTATTGGCTACTTGGTGACTTATTTTGCATTAGCTGCCCAAAGAGAGCTTACAAAAGATTCTAAGAAGGCCGCGCGTTCAACTTATGCAGTGACTCTACATTGTGTTAAGCGTAGACTTGTAGATTTCAATTAATTCAGTGGACGTTGTATATGCGAGTCGTCACGTAGCACTGAGGCAACAAGCATTCAAAGTTTTTTCTTGACTGTGTCGATGGGTCTTAGTAGCGCGAGCTGCCAACAATAAGGAATAGGCTGAGTAAAGATAGTTATTTGACAAAGGCTGGCCAACATAGACTAGGATCTAAATTAGGGGTCCTCAAACACGTGGCACGCTGGACTCACCCTCGCGGCCCGTGGTGCACACATGACAATATTCATGCCATAATATTTTTTTAATTCGTTGACGCTATCGTGTTATTACTGTGTGGTTGACGCATGATTTTATCACCTAAAGGGACTAATTAGTGTTCGCACGCACTCACTGCCCCGAGAAAGTGCTGGAAACTCTCTTCGCGAGAGTAAATGCTTGTCCCATATTTCACTCTCTTTTCGGGAGTGCTAGGTGCTCACTAGATAAGAAGAGATATTCTTTGGCGCAAACAATACGGAAAAAAGAAAAAAAAACTTAGTGAAGAAAGAAACAAATTGACACCAAACTAACAACTGCTTTATTCTTCTCAGTGCATCACATATACTATATGCCAAAAACCACATAATTGCATGCACACGCACAGCTTCGTATTGTACACGTACTAACAAATAAAATTCCATGATACATCGCACCACAACACTTTAATGCGCACGCGTTGTGTTATATTCTACTCGTAAAACCCGACATCCTCACCAAGATGTGGACGCGAAAATTCATATTCCAAGTCGTGCAAAGAAGCGGAGGTATACAATCAGCTCCGCTCTTCCTAATGTGGTAAGTTTTTAAAACAAGCCTTGCATCTTCGTTTCTTCTTTTTCTAGAATCAGCGTATCATGAAACCGCGATGAACAGCCAATGCAGGAGTTCAAATGAGCAACAAGATGTGCCCGTTTGTCTACTTTTTTAGCTATTTTTGCGCATGTTCCCTAAGACGCTCGATTATGCATCGGCCCGTTTGCTCGATGTAGAACTTGCCACATACCAGAGCTGTTACAAGACAGCCGACTCTAAAGTGGTTAAAAGAGAAATATTTTGATTGATATATGGGGTTTAACGTCCCCAAACCACCGTATGGTTATGAGAGACGCCATGTGGAGGGCTCCGGAGATTTCGACCACCTGGGGTTCTTTAACCTGCACACAAATCTTAGCACACGGGCCTACGACATTTCCGCCTCCATCGGAAATGTAGCCGCTGCCGCCGGGATTTGATCCCGCGACCTGCGAGTCAGCAGCCGAGTACCTTAGCCCCTAGACTACCGTGGCGGGGCAAAGAGGAATAGTTTGAACTTGTATCATTTGGCTCTCAATATGTTAAACAGTGCTTACGAGCGGAAACGACAGCGAAGGGGACAGGAGAAGAGATGAGGCAGGGCGATGAACTGCAAATAATTCATTTCTTGCGAAGGTCATCGCTTTTATACAGTTACCAGTCGCAACAGTCATGCGCGGAACACAATGACAATGCATAAGTACATCACACCGACAAAGCAACGGAACAACTTTTCCTTATCGGTGAGCGCGACAGAAAGGGTGCTAACACAAGAATCTCTTTATGAGCAAATCTTTTCTGCCTCTATGATCTCGCGTGTGGTGCAATCCCTGCATCTAGCAACAATAGAACACTCTGAAAATATTGGCCGGCAGCCACACGTGCTGCAGTGAACGGACAGCCATCCTTGTTTATAGTGATCCACACGGTACATATGTTCCCTCAGCCTCTCATCTATACAACGACCTGTTTGACCAACGTAATACCTTCCACACGATAACAGCAGCTCATAGACCACATTGCAGATACACTCTCTAAGTTTATTTGCATGTTTTGTAGTGCAAGCGAGGGTGGGTCTGGACGGAGGAACGGACAGCTTGCACAGGCGACTCAATTTTTTAGGGGCCATGAAGACCACCTTCACATTAACTCACTGTGCCACTTTCTGAAGATTGTGCACTAGCTTATGCATATACGGAACCACGGCGAAAGCCTGTCTAGCTGTGACAGGTGGGACTACGTTATCGTTCCCTTTGGCCTGAAGTTCACGCAGCAAGCCTTCAGCAACGGAAACTTGAACGTGTTCGGGGTACCCAGCCGACGTCAGCCTTGAAGATTGCTCAACAAATCTTTCTGTACTCTTGTGCACACAGGATTTTTGCAAGGCATTCATGAAGCAAGATTTTGCGATACCTCGCTTAACTAATTTAGAATGCGCGGAATGAAAAGGCAAAACAGGCTTATTTCCACGCAGTTGATACATTCAGCAAGAGCGTCCATTATTCAGAAATAGCTTAATGTCAAGGAACCTGCTTTCACAATTCTGAGATAGTTCAGACATGCAAGCTGGGGATATAAGATGCAAGACACCAAAGGCAAAAATATCGCAAGACAAATAAGAGAAACTGGCAATGACGCTGTTAACTGACCCTGCAATACCAACGAGAATAGGCAACAGCGTATCCATGGACACAAGTCCGGACTTGACGATAGTACAAAACTGCCACAGCGTGGACTCGTACAACACCTTTAGAAACCTGGGCAGTGATCACTACGTACTAAGCACCACAATCCGCACCGGCCGAATCCGCAAACACATCGGCACTGCTAAAATTACAGACTGCCATGCATATAGAAAATTGCTAAAATCGCACGCGACTGCCATAGACGTCTTGGACGAGTGGTTCAAAGTGATTCGAAATGAAAAGCGAATGCACACCAAAACTATCGCCAGAACAGATTGCACCCCTGAAGTAGACGCTCACCTTTTCCACCGGTGGGAAGCAAGAAGACACCTCACTAAAAGATGGAAAAGG